AGTTTGAGTAACATCTGCCAGTAACATCGTTATTTTAATTGATAAAATCTTCCAGTAAGAAAACTACCAATTTCGCTAAATGGCGAAAACCATACTCAGAAACCCCCTGTTCTCATCGGAACTTGTTGAAAGTAAACTGCATGACCTCTTAAATTGAAGCAAGAGTAGTGGATCTATTACGGAGGAGAAGTATAGCCAGAAGTTCAAAATCAAAAAAAAACCTCTTAGTTGTATACTTCACAGACTAAATAATCTATGAAAAAGCATTAAATGTAACACAACTTCATAAAGACAGGACTCAACCTGTTGCTTGAGAGAGTTTATCACTTCAACATTAGCCTAACAACTTCGATTCTTTAAGGTGGTCGCGCAAAAAAAATGAAATAAAATGTTTGTAGGGAAGGTGACCAAACATTGAGTATTTACAATAATTTCTAAGTTTTGTCCGACAGAAATTCGAAGAGTATATGTCCTGTTTAGATTATTGATGATAAGCAAGTAGCTGCTTTCGGTCAAAAAATAGAGATAGTTAACTTGATTACAAGTTCGAATTCAGAATTTGCGAAATCTGCATTTGATGATGTTCAGCTCGTCATAACCCACATCGTTGCTTTGTAAGCTTGAAGTTTACTCTTAGGCGTCAACTTACTTACCAGGATATACTTTGCACCTGCTTGACACAAGAGTAATGAGATTAATAAACTATATCGTATATGTACTTAATCAAGCGTAAACGGATTAAGGACTTTGTCTCACTATTCCGCTGGACAAGTTCAACGAAATTGGGAGTTTGATTTAACACCAAAATGGCCTATAATTCTGTTTGTACCTCGACCTTACAGAATAGTTCAAATCCAGAAAGTGAAATACATTCTTATAAACATGGCGGCTATCCCTGAAAACTCCCTTGGAAGAGGCAAAGGAGAGAATCGGTTAGGAATGGGGTTCACTATGCAGCACGCGGCATGTCACTCTTTCCCCACATGGATGAAAAGCAGCTTTTTTACAAATTTTAATGAAAAAACATTAGTTGAAGTTTGATGCTAATAAGAATAACAAGTCATTGCCCTATTTTCAATAAAGTTAGTTCTAATTTTGATTTTTTAGGCCATTCCCGGAGTGGGAACAAATTCCCTGCCTCCCTCCCCCTATCCTCTCTCTCCTGCTCTCCTCCAACTGATTAACACATACATAATACATGTTTAATTTCAATAACAATATAATCATTCAATATCGCTATTGGCTGAATTTGTTCAGTGAATTCTAGCAAGGTGGAACAAACAAAGAAGATAGTGTAACGTTTGAAGTCCAACAACGCGACGGCATATTTCAACTTTTTTCGAATATGGGAATATGAGAAGAGATAAATCAGTCATTCGATAATATTTCAGAAACAACAAAGATTGTATAACATCTCTTACGATCAACAATAACATCAACAAATCAACAACGATATTAACGACTAAAAACAACTCAATCGTGATGGAGATGAGTGGCGGGGCACCAGCAACCAAGAGTAAAATATCGGACAGAACAGAACCCTGGTAGAACGTCTACCTAACAAAAAGCAAAGACCATGACCTCGATTAGCTAACATTACTTCTCTAACGACGTCCTCTTCCAGTATGAGCCTTTTTTCCTCTCCCTTTCGTCTTTTCCTTATTCTTCATAGCACGTAGATCCTTTTTCATTCGACTAAAATTGTTTCGTAAGAGGAACAATGAAATTATCCATAAAGAAAGTAAAACAAGTGTAGAAATATAGCAATTACCGATCCACAAGCTTATATCGTCCATTCGGTCTTGACATTTTTCCTTTCTTGCCCTTAGTCATCACTACAAGCTCAGTTTTTTTCTTCTCTTTTTTATGAGCAGAAGCATAAATTCTAAAAAAAATTGGTACAGTGTAGAAGGAAGCGTCATATGGAAAAGAATAACGTACTTTTTCATTTCTCGAACCTTCTCAGCGTGCTCAAGGTTTTCATTCTCCAACACACCTTCAGCCTTCTTCTTGGCAGTCTGCAGTCGCCGTAAAGCTCTGCAAAAGAACGTATCCACGGATGAAGCTCTTGTGCATACACGATGGGCATAACTAACTGTTAAAAACCAAATAATATATGCAAGGTATAGACTCAAATAATCACTTAATTGAGAATGCTCACTCTTATGTAAAATAGTTAATTCATGTATTTCACTTAAAACAAAGAATAAAGTAAAGTTTCGTTGCTTTCCGTAGAACAGATCATCTGTCTATTCATTCAGATGAAAAAACATTTAAAAAAGTAAAATTCTAAAATCAAGCTGGAGATAAGTTTCAACTAAAATGTGAGCTGAAATGCGTTGACAAATTTGCTTTGGGATAGATGTCATTGAAGTGTAAATGCTTTACCACAGCTTTACGAACCACTTTTAAAGAAGTATGAGAAATACCAAAAAATCGCCAAGGTTAAAAGCGCTTTCAAAAAAAAAACGCTAAATTTCTGAACGATATAATATTTGCACTGATGCTTATTTAACAGCACTCGGATCTGTCTAGTTTCAGCTTAGAAATAAACGATTAATACCTTCTCTGCTTTCTAGCTTTTGCTTCGGCGACCTTCTTGCAAGGACGAGCATTGAGTTCGCGAAGACGTTTCTTATACTCCTCGACTTGAGCCTACAACTGGGAAATTATGAAGGTTGTCAAAACAACAGGTAACTAAAACACTGAATGAAAACTGGTTAATACAGAAAAGCAACCAAATTTTCACCAGTATTCACCTTTGTTACTGGCAATTGCTTGCGGTAATGTTTTCTTTCATCTTCGACAAACCAATCCGGAAGACCTTCATCATTATTCGTGTACCTAATACATGAAAAATTATCATCTCTTAAGTTAGGATGAGGATATGATTAAGGATACCTGTTCCATCCCCATTCCTCAACTTCTCTCGCCGATTTACTCGAATATATTAATTGTTCACCGAGAGCTAGTTGTTCTGGTGTTAACCGTCGTTTTTTAGCCTCTACAAACAACAATCATTTGCAATTCCCAGAAGATCCTGAATCGAGCTGAAAGCAATCTAGAGTTACCCACTAGGTTTCAGGTCCTCTCCTAAGATAGTCTTGGTGGCTTCTCGTTTGGTCGCTCGCTTTTCCTCTGAATATGGCAAACAATGATTGATAGAAGAAAGAAATTACTGTAAAGGATGTTGGTAAGTATTGTACCATCTTCAAACTCCTCATCTTCCCAAGCCATTTCGGCAGCGAATTTCGATTTGCTCTCTTCTTCATCTTCATTATCTTGCTCATCTTTATCCCCATCTTTATCAATGTCATTGACTGCAAGCTCATCGTCTTCATCGATGTCGTCGTTTCTTCGCTTTTTTCTTCTCTTACTCATTTCATCATCTTCGAAACTTACTAAAGCAGTCGATTTAACAACAATCTCTAGTGTTCGGCACTAAAACTAATCCAATTCATAAAGTCAAGGAAAATCTCATATTATTCTCATTTCGATACTGATTCCTCTGTCCAATTTCAAAAATTAAATATAGACACAGAAATTAGCATGATTTTAAAAACAGCATTGAAATATACTTCTGAGATTGTGG